CATGGGCTGTAGTGCCACTGATGATGATGATGATGTAGGCACCGTAGGCTATTAAGGTCGTGAGGTACACCCTGAACATAGGCCTTCCCATCAACAAATCTCTCTTAAATGATCACTACTGTCATAGTTAAAAGTGACAGTTTGTTTTGTTCCTTCGGACAATACATTTTCAAAATGTTTACATTTCTCGTGCAGGGATACTGATCTCCACCGAGCGCTTCCACAGGTGGCGGATAGAGGAAAGCCAACCAGATACGGCGGGTAGCCTACTGGGGAAAATAAAATACCCGGGGCTTACCAAAATCAGAACCTACTGCCTTGTAGGAAGAGGAGGGATCCACAAAGGCTAGGGACCCGACCCAATACAAAGGCAGCTACACTGAGAATTGCAAGGGGCAGTCCCCCCCCCCCCCCCCCGGGGACGCTTGTACGCAAGACCCTGTCAAATAAAAAATCAAATGTTACATAGGCTAAATCACACAAGAAAAAAAACAGACTGATAATATTGGATTTCGACCTATGCCTGACCCAAAAATAATATACGGATGGCGACTTGGAATGTTTTGAGTCTACACAGAGCGAGAGCATTGGCCCTCCTCGGTGACGAAATGATAAGATATAGAGTCGTGGTAGTGGCACTGCAGTAGATCAGATGGAAAGACTCGGATATCCTAAGTACTAAGGATTATTCAATGTTCTGCAGTGAAAACAACACCTCAGGAACAAGGTTTGCATTTAAAAGAGAGACAGTAAATGCAGTCATTGGGTTTAAACCAGTGAGTGAAGGACTACAGCCAAAAGAGAGACAGTAAATGCAGTCATTGGGTTTAAACCAGTGAGTGAAAGACTATGTATGCTCCATAAAGATGCAAATCACAGCATTAAGGAAACTTTCTATGAACTATGAACGAAGTGGCTATTCGCACCCGGGTACCAGAAGTGAGAGGTTGGGATTAAAAAACTATTTAAAATATTATTGTTGGGACCCGGGTCCGAATAGCGGCGTTGCGTGTCCGGGTCCATCTTGGCTAAATGCTATTCAGATGTCATTTGTGGTAGTTGATTTTAGTTAAACTGAAGAATTAAGTTTACAAATATATAGTCCATTCAATTATCTTTCATTTGATACCTCATTTTGTCTTACAAATCTCGTGCGGCTGTTGTAAACTGCACACTTCATTTCTTTCCTCTTGTTTATCTTTGCAAAGTGTTGAGTTGAGAGCCAATCTTTGTGTTGAGAGAGAGCCAATCTTTGTGTTGATTGAGAGCCAACCTTTGTGTTAAGTGAGAGCCAATCTTTGTGTTGAGTGAGAGCCAATATTTGTGTTTTTGCTTCACCGGTCCTAAAACATCGATGAAAGTGGAATCTTACTGACATCTTAACATTTTTCCATTGAAGTTCTATCTGGCCATCATCATGCAGTGCCTGGAACTAATTTCTCCGGGTAACAATGAATTCCTGTAGTTTCTGCTTGTTTTCCCAGAAGCATGGGCGCCCGCAGGTAGGGGCAAGGTGGGGCACTTCCCCCTCCCCCCCTGGATTGATTGGATAAAAAATTTTTAGACAAAAATAGACCAAAAATGTATTAAAGTAAAGACTTTTATTTCTCTTTCATTTATTCGATATGTCTTGTCCGTTCGTTCACCATACAAATACGCTACAGTAAATTAAAACTACATTAAAACATTACTAAAAAAATTTTGCCCCCCCCCTGGAAAGTTAATCAATTTTTTTGCCCCCCCCCCCCCAGAAAGTTTCCTGTGGGCGCCCATAGCCAGAAGTGCAATATAAAATTTTAGTCTTCTGGCAGCTGGCTCTTCCCAGTTTTTCTTCAGTTTTTGCTTGAGTTTTTCCCAAACTAGATGATGATCAGATATAACATCAGCTCCTCTTTTTGCTCGCACATCTTGTAGAGACCTTCTGAATTTTTGTTAATGCATTTATGGTCAATTTGGTTTTATGTTCTGTTGTCCAGTCACAACGAAGTTACGTTGTGGATATTCTTATATTGGAATTTGCTGCCCCCAATAACGAGTGCATTTGCCGCGCAGAAGTCTGCCATTCTTTCACCGCTCTCATTCTTCTCTTCTACGCCATGAGGCCCCGTAATTTCTTCGTAACCCCAGTTTTCTTTTCCAATCTTAGCATTTAGATCTCCCATTATGATATTTAGATCTCTACCTGGAAAATTTTCAAGTTATAACTATACTTTGGTGGGTGCATAGCGTTGCATAACATTCATACTTGTTTTCTTCTTCTTGGTTCAGAAAATTGCTGTAGCAATTCTTTGACCATGGTCTTCTCATCCTATCAATGTCTCTTGTACCATCCTTGGCATCGTGAAAGGGACACCTTGAGTGTGTGGAGCTTTCCCCCCCCCCTCATACTCTGATAAAATAGTGTTTCTCCCGAGGCCAAAGATAACTGTCCATATTGTTTCACAGATGACGATCAGTGTGAGTTTATATGTTCTCATTTCTGCCACATGATTCTAACATTACAAATATCTGTGTTTATTGCCCTTGAAAGAAGGGTCCTTGGCTTTTAGGCTTCCAGCATAACCTGGCTTTGGCCGCATGACGTCATAACTCTTCTTGGGGGAGAAAAAAGCCCCCTAGTATCGGAGCTGATTTTTTTTTTCTTCTTTTCTTCTTGATGACATTTCTGTAGTAGTTTATTTTTTACGGGTGGTGCAGCTGACTTCTCGCCAACCGTCCTCCTTTTGCACCCGGGCTAGAGACTGGTGAGGTAGCTGGCCTCACGCCAACAGTCCTTCTTTTGAACCCGGGCATGGGACCGACCATGAAAGAGTTTCGATTTAATTGTTTCTGAAGAAAAGAGTATATTGTAGATTTTAGCCAACTTACATCAACTTTTCACAGCTCAAATGTTTTGCAATAATCGATAACTCATGGTGAAATAAAATTATGCTTTACATCTTTTAATGCCAAAAACCCTCTCTTTTCGTTGCACTGGATCGAAAATGCTACCCTTAGATAAACAGAAAACAGTGCCACCTGGGGTGTACCGCCCACGCCGCCCTTCCTACCCACGTGCTCGCGAATCTTCATTTTCAATTGAAGGTTCATTGATTCTTTGCAAAACTTTTTAAACAATCAAATCTCTCTAGTTTTTAATGTCATACAAAAATGTCAATGATAGCTGTATAAAGCGATCATTAACTATACGCAACATACAGTGGTATAACAAACCTGGTATATAAATTCTGGTACTTCAAAATCTGGTATTAAAAATATACTCTTTTATTCTTTTCTGTGTCGAGAAATGGAACATCTGGATTGTTTTAATTTTATTTTTGTTGCTGCTGGAATTAGCATACCCTTGAAAAGTGCCGCTCTAGGTAGTTTACTATATCACCGATACAAAAGGCTGCGACTATTCGTACCCGGGTACCAGAAGTGAGAGGTTGGGATTAAAAAACTATTTAAAATATTATTGTTGGGTTTGTAAGATAAAATGAGGAATCAAATGAAAGACAATTGAGTGGACAATATGTTTGTAAACTTACTTCTTCAGTTTAACTAAAATAAACGACCTCAAATGAAATCAGAATAGCATTGGTCTAATGGGACCCGGGTGCAAATGGCGGCGCTGCGTGTCCGGGGCCATTTTGACTAAATGTTATTCGGATGTCATTTGTGGTAGTTTGTGGACCAGTAAAGAGACGATTTTTGGCTTCCCTTGACTTTACGAAGTCTATGGGATTTTATAATTCAATTCACTATTAACATCTTATCTGAAGACGATTTTGGCGTTGGCGCCCGATGTGATGCACTTTTTGCTCCATTCTCATGCCTTTCCCCGAGAGCAGTGTGGCTTTCATAGTGGGGACCCTTGGGCTGGGCATACAGTCAGCGGTGTAAACTAGGGTGACCAAACGTCCAGTACCCGATGTTCCGAAAAAGTCTCTCAGGTCTCCAAATAGTTCAAATGAGCGTATTTCAATAAACAGTTTCTGGCGGAGCCCCCGGACCCCTCTTTAGCTGATGGGTATCTCCCCCCCCCCCCAAAACCCCCCTTAGGTGTGTCCCGTTTTTTCCAGTTCATGATTTGGTCACCCTACTGTAAACCCGTGATACATTTTTTTTTTAAAACCTTGTGACGTCACAATAATCTATATGATTTGTTTTTTTTTAATGGGGTGGGTTTGGGGGGGGTTTTCAATAAACAGTTTCTGGCGGAGCCCCCGGACCCCCCTTAGCTGATGGGTATCTCCCCCCCCCCCCAAAACCCTCCTTAGGTGTGTCCCGTTTTTTCCAGTTCATGATTTGGTCACCCTACTGTAAACCCGTGATACATTTGTTTTTTAAAACTCTGTGACGTCACAATAATCTATATGATTTGTTTTTTTTTAATAGGGTGGGTTGGGGGGGGGAGGGTCGAAAGCTTCTTGTACGTACACATTGGGGGTGTCCGAAAAGTACGCATGCAACAGGTGGAGGGCGCGACTTTTTTGCGTACGTACTAAATGGATGGCCCTTGACGTGAGTTATTTGCGGAAAATCATGAGCTCCCAGCCGAGATGTCGTCATTCCCTGGCAGGTCAAAGTGTCTCCCACAGATACTGACGTCATTATAAAGCTCAAGGTACGTCAAGCTGACCGAGGGTGCAAGACCAACTGGATGGCTAGGCTTCTTTTGCATTACAAGTAGGCTAAAGGCTAAACGTGCGTGCAAGAAAGATATGAATCTGGCCAGCATCAACAGAAGCTTTAATTTCCTGAACCCCAGGACAGTCCCCACAAAAACAATTCTTTCGTCTTTGATATTTTTTTCCCTGCTTACTGTCAATTGTCATTCACCATTGTCAAAACTATGGCCGAGTTTATTGAACATATTTCCAGTACATGTGTATTATGTATTTTTTATTTATACTCACAATGTGCAATTTTAATTATCACTATCTTCAATTAAACAATATTAATTAGAGGTAAAGGAGATAAAAATAAAATGTGTAGAAAAATTGTTTATTCAACCAAACTTGTCAACAAAATGAATACTGGTATGGTATGCATGTTTGAGGAATTGTATTTTCTTTGCTAAATTTAAGTATCCTGTATTTCAGGGGTCGGGAACGTCCGGGCCGCAGGCTGCAAGATTATTTGGTCCAGCCCGCCATTGGAATTAAAAATCCAATAAATATAGGAGATTTTTTTTTCCATAGCAACATAAATTTATATAAGTGAATCATAACGGTACGTTTTGAAGGACCCGCAAGATGGCGAGTTATTGAAAAATTCAAAGACATTAAAAGAAAACAAATGGAATCGAACATCTTTGATACACCGTTTAATATCAGTCCAGCTGATCTGCCTGATAACCCACAACACCCAATCATTCAGCTGCAATGTGATGATGAGTTAAAAGCTATGCACAAAACTTCCCACTGCTTGAGTTCTATAACCGTTACATAAGCAATGAGAATTGCCAACTTGGCGTAGACCTTCATGAAACATGCATCTGTGTTTGGAACAACTTACTGCTGTCAGCATTTCTTTTCAAAACTTAAAATCGAATAGCGTTGAGTGCGCTCCAGACTGACCAATGCAAAAAAGGAAAATCAGTTTCAAGTAGCAAAATTGTCAATACCAGCTAATATTACAGGCCTCACCAAAGAGAAGCAGTTCAAGCCATCAATTTAGGGGTGAGATGATTGTTATTTTCAACAATGCTATAAGATGAAGCAGTAAGAAAATAATTTCAGCAGCCAATTAAACATTGACATTGCAATGTTTGAGAAAATATTCAAAATTTTTGCGCTGTGCAGCTTATATTTAAGCATTTTAAAAATCATATTAAGTAAATTACACAAAAGATTTAAGCACATAGTTCCCACAATGTTTATATTGCACTGCAGCTAACTCTAATCATATCTGTTAAGTAAATTATATTGAACAATGCATTAAGTATGGTACTGGAAAACTTTACTGGTAGTCAATTTATATAAATCCATTAACAATTTATAGTTTTATAGCTAAAAGAACCAATTCTTTTATAAGTTTTTATATTAATATATGTAAATCTTAAAACAGTTACTAATCGCCAAAGATAATTGATGATGAAGTAATATTTATTAATATTAATTTGCATCATATTTTTTTCAGTTCATGCTCTACAGCGTGGCCCAAAAAATGTGATAAAATCGCATTTTTTGTCAGAAGCATAAAAAGGTGCCAAGGCTTGCAATAAGTCATTGAGAAGCAGGGGGGGGAGAGGAAAAACAGAGTTAACATTTTTTTTATTAGAGTAATAATTTTCATACAACTGTCAATGACAAAAACATTCTAATCAATCAATTATATAACCCTTTGTTTCGAGATGTTCTCACTTTCTCTGTTCCACCCTGTATATGTAAGGGGAAATAATATATGGGGGCAGGGTGTAAACATGTTTTGTGCTTGGCGGTTCAAGGCTTGGGGCGCCAGCCCTGAATTTGTATGGTCCGCATTAAATATGCAAATGGCCCTTGTCAGGAAAAGGTTCTACACCCCTGCTGTATTTTAATATTAATCTCTTCATGGATAATGAGCACCTCCTACTCCACATTCCTTAAACTGTATAAAATGTTCAATTTGCTTACAAAAGTTGCAAGTCATAATAATTACTATTACATTAAAAACTTCTTACGGATTTACAAAACAATTGTTTCATTATAAGATTAAGAGGCCATCTGAAAAATGTTTTCATGAAAAAGAATTACAAATACCGATACATGAAGTGCATAAAAAGATGAATGCTGCTGTAAAATGTCTCATTCTGGCAACACACGTTAAGCAATTAATTGAATTGACAGGCATCCCACTTCCTGGTGTGTTTAAAGAGTGCATAATATAAACTATGTTATGACTCAATTTATATCCTGAAATCCTAATTTAGGCAGGCTAATGAAAATATGAATAATGTTGTTAGCTCACCTGGACTTTTGGAAGCATTAGGCATTAAGATTAATTAGTTCCAGCACAAATATTTATATTAATATTTACTTTGTAATTCATAACAAAGCAAGAAAACACTAAAATAATTTACACATTTATTTATAATAGTTATTGATGAACGCTAGGTTCCATGAAAGCACATGGCTCAACTCTGAATAGGGATTAAAGCACAAAGCAAAACTGTTATTATATGCTTTTTCTATTCTTAAATTGGCAACTGATTAAATGAGGAAAATATAATATATGTCACATCTTTCTCACTGAAAATGACAGTCATTTAAACTGCAAAAGGAAGAAAATATTTTACAATTCTGGAATATTAAAACAAAAAAAAACTTTAACCAACATTTTATCAGTGCTGCCAAAATATAGTGCAACATTTTCCATTCAAAATAAAAAGAAAAGATGTAGAAAAATCAATGAGTTTGTCAAACTGTGAGCTATTAGTATTAGTATTTTTATACAAATCATTTTTTTTAAATAAAATTTACTAAATGTATAAAAAACTTGTTTTTTTAAAAAAGAATTTTATTGCCAATTTCAGTTTTTAAATTTATTTAAAACTTAATTTAATTTCTAAAATTTTATAATTCATTTACCCGTGATGGAAAGATTCTCAATATTCATCTTATAAATTTTCTTTTAATAATTCATCTATTTCTTGCTGTGTTGGAAATAATACCATGTCAACAGACTTGTCATGCTGCCAAGTTGGAACTTCATCAACTAATTGTTCTTTGAAAATCAATGCAATTGTTTTTGGAAGTTTTCCATTGTCTTCACATTTTTGTAGATATTTGTCATAATAACCCATCCCTCGTCCTAATCTTGCACCATCTTTAGTAAATGCCAAACCTGGCATAAATATTAAATCAAGTCCTCCTGAAAAATATAAATAATCTATGATTTCTGAAAAATACGTAAAGAACAGAAAGGGGCAAGAAATGTATACAAATACATCTTCACATTAATAAATACAATTATTTAATTGGTTGTGAATTTTAAAGTAATTTTCAAAATCAATTTTGGCTGACTGTGAACATGTTATCTATTAGTTTTTTCTAATTTTTCTTACCTGAATGAATAGCATCCAAAGACTGGTCAAATACTAAAGGCTGCTTGATTCCCCAAGAATTTGCTACTGGCAGGTGTTCATATGCCTCATAAGATTCCAATTTTATCATGATCATCTCTTGATTTTCAAAATGGGGAATAAAACATTGTTTCCCAGAGCTAAACATATATTGTAAAATAGGAAGAGTATTTACTTCATCCTTCAGGGAAAGGTAAATGGAGATTCTTTGACTTTTTTTGAATTCTTCCAAAGACAGCACCTATTGTCCAAGAGAAAAAAGAATTTTATTACAGAAAGCTAAAACAAACTATTCATTTTCAGCTAAACAGTATACAACTACTGAATATGATTAGTTAATTTATTACAAAACCTGAAAACCTCAGAGTGGAATCTGGTGTCTTGTATTCTGACGTTACTGAAACTCTGTGATGAAATAAAATATAAGATCAAGAGCGAATATTCAAGCTTTCGGTATCAATGTCAGCCATTAAAGTTATATTGTTGTAGTTGCAGAAGACCACATGTAATGACTGAATGCAGAAAAAATTTCAGAAATTTTATCAGATTTGAAACAAACCTTTATAGCCCGTTTTTTAAAAAAAAGTTCTTTAACTTTGCAAAGTGTTGAAAATATTTGATGAAATTTTCAATGTTCAGATTTTAAAAGCAATTGATTAAAAATAGAAAACAATAATCTTCATAATTAGATAAGAAATCGGCAGCATTTTTTTTTGGTTTTTGACAAATCATACCCAGAATTTGATTTAGCCACCCAGGATTTGGGAATCATGCAATACGAATTATAGAGTTGAGAAAAACTCTTCAAATAAATTATAAACAAAAATATAAATATCATAGATATATTAGACTCAATGAGTATTCTATAGAAAGATATTGGAAATATCCATTAACTGCCATAGACTCCACAATGTCAATTGACCAAAACTCTTAATTCATGCAAAAGTGATGAGTAAGAAGTTTAAAGTAAAAAACATGTCTGGGACATAATCAGGAAAAGAGCCTCGTTTGATGGAAATCACAATAACACAGCTAAGTAGCCAAAACATTTTCTACACTGTCTGCACACCTCTTAATCCAGAGTCATTGATTAAAATTAGATTTTTAGAAAAGAATAATAACAATTACATCAACTTGAAAATAACAATGCTATCTGGAAATATTGAAATGCAATGAAGGACTGGGTCTAAAAACATTGGTTGCCAGGCAGGAGACAAGGTTGGCCCACTCTAAACTATAAGAAATAAATACAATTTTACATAAAGTGTCATAAATGGACAAAAATAACAATTTTTATGAAGTGACTGTATATTTTTGTAGTAAATAAAGTATACAGTTACTGCATATTTCTAAAACTTAAGTATGCAGTGGATATTTTTGAATAAGTTGCTTGTATTGTACATTTTACACTTTAGCAGCTAATTCAAAACCTTATTTAATTTCTTGCAGTACACTTCATTAAGAGCATTAGTTTGTATTCACTAGCTCAACATTTCCAACACTTTTTTTTGTGTGACCCAGTTATTTTCATACTTCTTTGTGACTCACTAAAATTTGTACCGGTATAGCTTATTCTAATTCTAGCATATTCTTTATATTTGTACCGGCAGCAAAAAACAATTTTAGTGTCAATACATTTTTTTTAAAATTCAAACAGAAACCCAGTAAATTATTAAATGAGTGAGAAGTGTGCTCCTTTTTTAATAAATTTTTCTTTTACTTTGATCCAGGTGAGGTGCGTTGAAGCGGAAATCGAGTGTTCAAAAGGCTCCCAAGCAAAAGGGAGGGGATGGTCTAGGGAAGGGCTATTTTTTTATTAACTTATATTGAAGGGATGCATTTTTATGCATACCGGTACCTGAATTTAGGTTTTCAGGGAAGCTAGTAGAAATTTAGCAGATGTGCCATTGTTTGGGCTAATTAGCTGTGAACAATGAAACAGAAAACTATTCACCTCACTGCACTAGATGATTGTGCAAATTTGTCAATAATTGCTACATTACCTAATTCATCTAACAATAATTTTTCAATGGATTGTAAAATGGATCATTCTAAGTTCTCCTCGAACAGTGACTTTCTTAGCCTTGTCTTTAAGATATTTAGTTTTGAAAATGTCCTTTTATATTGGACTTAATTAACTGATAGTGCTTCGATGACTCTATAAAGTTCATAATTGTTATCATATGCCTCACCATGAAGTCTGTTTGATGGCACAATTTTTAATGCAGAAGATGGACAAGCGCTGTGAATTTGACACTTTTTGCAACTGGAAACCATATTCTCAACATCTTGAAGTAATAAATTCAATGCATAAAATTTCAAGGTAAATTAAAACAATTCCAACATTATTTTATCTTTTCTTATTTGTAGCAACAATATCTTCAAATTGTCATCTTACAGACCCAAAGCATGAAACTAGTGAATGGACAATGTGGTCCATCATTAGGTTAAACACATTTACTCAAAATTTAAAAAAAAGAATTTGAGGAATTTCCTCTCATCTGAGATTCTTTTCTTCTTACTCTGCCCCTTAACTGGCATATGCTATTTCCAAAGAGTCAATTTCCAATTTTTTATTTTCATCCGTATTCAATTGTATAATCTTGTCATTAAATGTTTTATTTTATTTACAAATTCAGATGTCTTGCTGTAACATTGTCAAAATCAAATGTTCTCCTTGTTTCTTCAACGTTTTGTAGCTCAATCTGCTCAACACCATACAGTAAACATATCTCAACTGACTAATCTATATGTCTGTAAATAGCTTGATAACAGGGATGTTATTTCAAATAATAAAATGTATACAATTAAGTGAATGCAGACTATACGGTTTGAAACTTAAGAAAACTTTAAAATATAACAATAGCTTCTTGTTTTGTTTTTGAATCAAACTTTTTCTGAATCTTGCATCATTGGAAAGATTGTCAATAGATTTACAAAGGTACTGACAGCAGCATCATCACTGTCTAAATATAATTGTTGCAGAATTGGATTTTCCTAACCATCTGGTCTTATGTTTAAGTTAAGGGGGCCCACATGCCATCTGGCAAGGTGACACCATGACCAGTCTGATTCTGTTGAAATGATTTTTTTTTTTTTAGTTTTAATTTTTTTTTAAAGCAAGAAATAGAAAGTGAAAGTCAAGGAGTTATATATGATAATTAAATGTTTAAAATTATCGTAACTCTAGAATATGATAGATAGAGGTAATACAATAATGCATTTGTGTGAAATTATAGATTTTATAACTATGTGCTCACATATGGCCCTGATCTGTTACAATCTGTAGGAACAGTGCCTTATAACTTATGTCATATCCTATGATTTGTGCATAGTCATAGAAAGTGTTCTAGAATAGGATGACAATGGATGGTGATAAATTAAATTTGAAAAAAATTGCCTGATTCATGATAATCTTTGATTGTTGATCCTTTTCGTATGAAGAAAGTCCATTAATTCGTTGCTTTATCATTTGACGAAGTGAAGCTTTAGCTTGTAAAATCAAAGACATACTTTGTATTTATCTTATGAACTTGTTTCTGCTCCTAACTTGAAAAATTAAAATATATATTTTTTACATATTACATTATATAGTATAAATTAGGCTGAAATGTAATAGATAACCTATAATAATATACTACTATTTATACTATGCTATACTATACTATATGCCTATAGTTACAGTAATTAGTAATTACTAATGAGGCCTACTAAATTATTAGTAATTTCTAAATAAAATATTTACTATTACTAGTAAAAATAGATATTATAATTGGCTTATGGCTTATACTTATATATATAATATTAATAGTTTAATTAATACTAATAGATACTAATACTAATAATATAGTTAATTAATAGAAGTATTAGAAGTAGAAGCATAGGCGGCCTATTTAAATAATAGTAATAGTATATTAATAATTAATAGAATAGACCCACTAGTACTAATTAGCCTACTACTACTACTAGTAGTATACTACTAGTAGTGAGTAGTAGTAGTATACTAATACTACTAGCACCGTGGTGTTTATTATATTATAGTGTTATAATTATAAGTTATAAGGGCCTACTATTAGTCTAAAGTAGTAGCAGTAGAGTTGGGCTAACTACTGCTAGTTCGGCCTACAGCCTACTTGTAAAAAAAGTTAATTTAAGTATTTGTAAGTATATAGTCATATAGTTTAGTACGTTTTAATCATAACTTAAACTAATTTTTTTTATTTGTTAGGTGCTGTGCCCATATTTTATAACCAAAATATGACTATGACTATGACATTTTGACCCACCCCATGCCCATACCCCTTATTTATAACAATAACATAGTATAACGTATATTTATATTATTATATAGGCCTACTATACTATACTAAATATTATATTATATAATATTAATATACCTATGGCTATGATAGTGCTATGACTATATACACGATCAAATTTTCGTCAAATTTCTTTTTGAACGCACTATTTAATTTTAGTTATACAAAATATAGTGCTTTCAAAAAAAGAAATTGAGGAAAATTTGAAGCAAAAATTTGATGAACATTTTATCGAGATGGGGTGAACTGAGCATTAGCCAACTGATATCTTCACATTTGTTTGTGCGCGCGAAGTTAGTACAAATAATATTGACTTTTTCCGAATACATTCTATAAAAATCGACCAGTAGCCTGAACATGTCCGGAAACACTTCTATGACCTTTCGAAACATGGTTGATTACATTAGGGCTACCTAGAACTTCCTAAACAACCTCTGATCGTTCCTATTTGATTAATTTCTAGTCGAAATGGCATCTTATTTCAATAAAATTTTGTCGTTTTCACTAAGAGGCAAATTCCTAAAAGGTGCATATGACCCAGTGGTTCAATGCGTAAGATTTCGAAAGCCAATCCATCTCCCAATCGCAAAATCGAAGGAATTTTACGTGAGGAAGCCAACACCTATTGTCCCAGAAGAGTATGATATGTTGAACGCACGTTATATTGAATACAGAGCAGGAGTTGAAAGTGTTAGGTACATTATTATTTAATTATAATTTAAAATATCCTAATATTTTTACTTACACCATTATTAAAAGTATATTATTCACTTTATAGTTATAGATTATATTTATTATAGTTATTAGTTATAGTCACAGTACAGAAGAATTAGTAGTAGGCCTAAATTTAAGGGACTGGAGAATAACTCATCTGTAGACTGAGACGGATAGATGATGTTGAGATGGAGTTACCTAGGCCGGAGTCTCTGCATGGCCACAAAAGATCGGTTTGAGTGGAAAGGGTCTAGGACCAATGTTCCCTCTAAGGTATGCTGGTTCGTGTGCAAAATCATACAGTTGTGTGCAAAGTTTTACAGCATCAATTTCTTTTGTGTGCAAAATTTTACAGCCCACAAGCATAAACAAGACACTTACTTGGAAATTTGGTGCGCGGATACTCAAAACTGCTGCGTGGCGTCTGGTGAGACAACTGCGTAGCCGCGCATCTTAAAGGGAACATTGTCTAGGACCATTGATTATGAGATGAAAAATGATAAAACTTTATAGTATGAATTAAATAATACTAATAATATGAGTAGGGCCTACATAAAAAAAGAACTTATTCTCAGAAAACTTTTTTTTTACCATGACCATTTCTTTATTTTTTTTATTGATATAGGTTATGTTAGTGTTTTATTTTAAATTAATTTTTAGTAGTACTGTAGCTTATAAATTTTGTTTTACCTTATAATTTTTTTAATTTAAATTATTATTTTTAAAATTGACTTTTAGGCGGTTTCTCAAACAAAAAATGTCAGAAAAGGATGTGAATTTAACAGCTAAACAATTTACTGACGATGTTAATGATTTTCTTTTAATGGAAGAGCAAGTTAAAGAATGGAACAAATATGTAGCTATTCAAAGGTAAGAGAATATTTAACACCAAAAAAAAAAAGAATTTAACATTTAAAAATTATATGATTAATATGTCACATTATATGACTTGTTAAGCATCTGATATTAGTATGAAAATAATTACCGTATTAAGGAAATCAATCATTTTATTTTTTTTATGGTGCTTTTTTTTCTAAAAATAGCTAACTAAATACAAGCATATGTTAACATGACTAAAGTTAAAGCATCTCCACTATTTAGTATTTAGGAAGAGGAGTAGAAAATGAACCTCTTCTTTATTGCAGAGATTGCTTACATATTTCTTTTATCCTGTTAATTTTTCTTTTGTGACAGTCAAAATGTTTTGAAAATTGTTAGTTGCTTGTGTGCTGATTATGTTAAGGTAATTATTACCAAGATCAAAAATGGGCTGGTCCACTGCTCCGACATCAAACAGAAACTCGTCCATCTTCCCCCTCGACTGCCTCTAGGCTACTGCAGGCAGTTCCGGCTAATAAAAACAAGAACTCAGTACAGGAGCTCCTCATTCCTGCCAAAGACAATAAGGGACTGGAACAAGCTTCCAAAAGCAACAGTTGAATCGGCTACACTCGACACATTTGTGTTTATTGCCTCTTGTCTTCCAACCCCCCCTTGAAAACCATGCAAAGTAACATCACAAACCCCTCTGAAACATAGGAGCCAGAATGATCAATTCATTGATCATGGGCCCTCAAAATAAAGAAGAAGAAGAATCCACGAGAATCATTCTGTACTGTGGGAGCTTTTGAGAGCTTTTTGAGTGCCTTTTGAAATAACATTACATAACTTAGAAATATTGATACAAAACCCCAAAAGGTATTTATTTTTAGAAAGGTAAATGTAAGGGGATAAAGTTGGCTATATTTCCCACCCTGTAAAAAAATGTGTGTTATTGTCCTTGACCTTGGAGTGCTTAAGAAAAAAAATTGACAAAATGTCTTGCTTTTAAGTGCTCATAACATCATTAATTTTTATAGATTCCATTAAAAAAATTATAAAATTTGGTAGCCAATTCATTTATCTCTCAGAAAATGTATAGTTTGCTTAGGTTTCAATTAAAAATAAGCCTTTGAAAGCAATTTTAGTAATTTTAGGAAATTTATTACTGAAAAAAAACAAAAACAAACTGGGACCACAGCTAAAACCAAGTACAACATACAAAATCTCAGACAAAAAAGTTATTATTGAATAGTAAAAATTTAAAAAAGAACTATGGAGCTGATTTGGGTTGTCCAACTATAAAATTTTTTAGTTCTGATTTATAATCTGTAGCTTCTGTGACTAAAGGTCAGTCAGTCCTAGCCAAACCTCTGGGCCTGGCTCGAAGTCTAACAGTAGGCCTACCTCAGTATCACTAGGACTAGTATCAGATTCACTAGAAGAAGAATCCGAACTGAGATAGTCATGGGGAATGTTAAAATCACTTAAATCCTCTCCTAAATGCTTTCAAAAATATATCTGGTACTTTTACCCGAAGGCCCAGTCATAGCTTCATCCATTTTAGCTATAAAAAAAACTGGGACAGTGAACAGCGATATAAAAATCAGATTAAAAAGTACTTATTTTTAAGTTTAAGTTATCTACAAACAGCTTGACCCGGAAGATAATTTAATTATTAATAAAAGGAAGTGGCTACAATTCCGGTTAAATATTGGAATGGAAGTTTCTATCTGACAGTGTTTTTTATCTGCTGATTTTGTCGGCCACCACAGTACAGAATGAAAATATGGGCCGAGTTTTTCGTCCAACCACAGTTCGTGGGTTAAACCACAACTGAATATTTTCTGATTTTTTTTATTTTGTTGTAACAGAGAAGCAAGACAGACTGAAGAAATTAGACAAGAAGAAGAGAGAATCCAACAGTTAATAAATCAACGTGCAGAAAAAAGGCTTCAGGACAGTATTGATGCAGAAAAGAAATTAAAGAGAAATAAAGTAAGATATAAATAATATGTGCATAACTTATTAAAGTAAACTGCTTGTTCAACTTCTGAGTCTAATTTCTGTTACTGCTGATGAGACTTTAACAGAATTCTCATGTTTTACCTGTACATTAAATTAGAACTCATGCGGAACATAACTTCGGCTCTCCTCTCTCCAGTTCTTTAAAAAGCTTCAGACTTGACCTCAAGAAATTATATTAAATTTGATTAATCTTAACAATTGGTTGAAAAGAGAATATAAAAAAATAATTAAAAAACTAGTGAATTATTTTTATGTCTCCTAATTAAATTAATGTTTTCATATTATTCTTTATAATAATAAATAATTCATGATGCATTTAATGTATAGCATAGCATTTTCCCTTTAATTTTAACAGGAAGTATCTGCCAATTTTATTACTGCAATTAGCAGAGACAAGCTTGAGGATGAAATAGAAAAGATGTTGGATAGTCGTAGTGATTACAACTTTGCCATTACAAAGACTGGTGAAATTTTAAAGGGAGAATATCCTGATAAAGCACACTTACAGAAACATGGTCACTCAACATAACTAAAATTATTAACATGTTTATCCTAGATTTCTGTTTGTACCGGTATTGAATTTGTTTATTTTTGTACACTACCCGTACTGGCTACTTTAAATGTGTTTTGTAAAATGAATAAAAATGTAAATATTATAATTATATGGAAATTGAGTTGTATCACACATGTTGAAAATGGTGTGTAAAATGATGTGCTAGTAAAAATAAAAGCTGTTAATAATAATTGCAAACTGGATATGGGATTGATATTATGTCATGATCAATATTTTAAGATTAACTTAACTTGTCTCATTAAAGGTGGGAATCAACAAACTTATTTTCAATCTTTTTAGATAATCTGATGAATAAGTCAAGCGCCCCACCACCACCCATCCCATTCTAAGCAAATTGTAAAAAAAGTCATGTTACAATAGTCCAGTCCCTAATCTTCTTTGAGCTGGTGTCTAGTCTAGTCTTAACCTTTTTTTTTCTTTCTTTCAATGCTCCCCTTTGGCTTATCCAGAACCTGCATTCCTTTGTATTTCACACTTACAACTAAAGGTGATGCTGATCTTGTGGGCTCTTGTGATCATGAAAGCTTTGAACATCTTAACATAGACTTAGACACTGCAGAGTGCAAGGAGACAGTTGGTGGTGGGGACCAAGCAAAGAGTGAGCCCTTTGTTTGGATGTCATGATGGATGATTACATGGCATCTGTCACAACTTTTTCTCCGTGTTACATACCACTATAAGTATAATTATAATGTAGAGAATCTAATCACTTATTTTCCTCTATGGCGCATGTAAAATAGTACATAAAGGACAATACCATTAATTAAATACAGTAATAAAGAAACGATACCCAAACTAGGGCTAATTACAAATAATAATTTTTAAACTTAACTTTAAAATAGAAAACTCAGTATAAAATTAATGTTCTTGACCTACAGTTCAGCAATGAACTTGTACCGGTATAACGTTGAAGTGAAGAAGGTACACACACAGAGAGTAAATATTAATGTATGGTATCGTTATTAGCAAAACTTTATCAGCTCATTATGTCGATAGGTGTATTTATAGTCTTTTTCAGAGCAATGTTAGATGGTCCTCGATAATATTAGTATTAGCGAGATGTTAACATTTTGTTAGGCACAAAGCTGTTATATTTTTTTTGTCACTCAGCTGTTAACATATTTTGTTAGGCACTCAGCTGTTAACATATTTTTTTGGCACTCAGCTGTTAACATATTTTGCCTCACACTCAGCTGTTAACATATTTTGCCTGGCACTCAGCTGTTAACATATTTTGCCTGGCCTCAGCTGTTAACATATTTTGCCTGGCACTCAGCTGTTAACATATTCTCCCTGGCACTCAGCTGTTATCATATTTTGCCTCACACTCGGCTGCTTTGGAAAACTTTTTCAAAGTTTATTCTTTCACTTCCCATTTCCAAAACAAAATCTTGTCTTCCGATCCCATTGCACAACTAATTTGAATTACAGTTTTTATTTTATCCCCTTCCTTGCGCATGTTGTTAATTGTATTAGGCTACTCACAAATACATCATTAAGATTATGAGTCTACTTTTGTGGACAAAGTTTGTTTTAAACTAAATATCAACATTCATTTGGATCATTTTCTTTTTTTTTTAAATGGAAGCATCGTTTCCCCCCCCCCCCCCCCCATTTTATTTGTAAACATGAATGTTTCTGACATGGTCAAATACTTTTCAGGTCTACAGATCGTGGAAGAGTGGGTAGGCTGTGATGATTTCCTGAGGGCATGGTCACATGCTAGCAGTGTTTCTTTGGGACATCTTTCCCCCCGACGGGGGGGGGGGCAGTTCCATACAAAAAAATTAACTCCTGCTGTAGCGTGCCTAAGGATAATCATTTGGCATAAGCATATATTCAACCCCGTAAAGTCATATTGATCAGCGTGAGGGAAGGGAGTGGCAGAAATTGAGGGTGCCAAAGATTGTCGGGCTAATTGAAAATGCAGGGATGAATTTTGGCTTAGAGCCATCGTGTGGGCCCTGCAACCCCTACGTCTTCAGGGGGCCTCGGATATATAAGGAGCTTAAAAGTTTTGATGTGGAAATTTTTTTAAAATTATTAACTTTAAATGGAAGGTGGGGAAGGGCAAAACCGAAAAGTGGTGGGGGGGGGGGGGGTTTGAAAAATAAAGTGCCCCTCTGCTTGGCCCAAAAAATTTTTTTTTACTAAAAAAAAAAGTGGCTTTTTTTTTTTTTTTTTTAAATTATTTTTTTGGGGGGGGGGGGGTCTTGAAAAGTATAGTGCCGCTCTGCTTGACCACATATATATTTTTTTACTAAATGATAATGTGGCTTTTATTTATTTTTATTTAAATTATTTTTGGGTTAACTTCTTAATTAATCAGTTAACTTTTTTTTAATTGCTTGGAACAAGGGTCTCAAACTCAAATCATCCGGGGGCTGCAGGAGGTAGAGTCTGAGTGAGACTGGGCCGCATTAATTAAAAAAAAAAGCGATTTCAAATTCAATAAAGTACAACTGGTACAATCTGCTCAACCTTTAATAATAACAAATAAAAAATTAAGGGTTCTCAAGAACTAGGCTTCACTTTCTTCCTACTACTCTTTGTTGCCAGAGACCTGGCAGCGCTTCTTCTTATACAGCTGAGCAACATTTGGCTTGAGTGAGGAAGCAACTGAGACCCTCAGTATAGTCTGAAGATGCTCTTCATTAAGTTTGGCCCTGAATTTTGACTTGTTAAATTTCAGAGTGGGAAAAGAGCTTTTCACACAGTTAGGTACTCCCAAAAAAGGCACATGATCCACTTGAGCAACCTGAAAATCTCAGTGAAGATGGAGGACAATGCTCTGAATATTGTCCATGCTTGTCTGTTTCTCGATTCGCTCCCTGAACTTATAATTGCACTGAAGATCAATCAGCTCCATTTGAAGTGCAAGTGGGGGTGGGGCGCATCTTCCCCATTAAAGGAGAAAGGGTCGGCAAAAAGTTGAAAAGTGGCTCTTAGTGTTTTGAAGTAAAAAAAAACATGTCATCAAATTCTTCCTGTAGCTTTGCAATGGCATCAGTATACTCGCTACTGAATGGTGTTCCCGAATCCATGAGTACTTTTCATGTTTGGAAATGGCCGAGATTTCTCTAAGAACCATAATACAAGTTTTGTGCAGAATGCCATAACATTGTCATAGGCGACATTGGCAAGCTACCCTTGGTCTTGTGACTTCTTGTTGAGTGCATTGAGCTCCTGTGTAATGTCAACAAGAAAAGCCAAGTCTATGAGACATTTGGGATCACTTAGTAATGGAAAAACCACCCATACTTCTCCATGAAGGCTTAAAATGCTAAAATGTGTTCAGATAGTAGGCAGGAGCAGGCAATATTATGAATTATTGGAAGATGCTATTGTAGGGAGAATGAATTTTGATTTTTTTATCGTAGAAAAGGCCTTTTTGACCAACCCTTTTTTGAAATGGAACCAACCTAACAGGCTCGGAATTTCCCTCACTCGTTAACAGTAGGGGCAATTTTAATAGGGATCCTTTGATACTGATTGCTACGATTTACAACAAGTATGGTTGTGCATTAACAACTAATTGAAATTTTAAACTTTTCTCAAATCAGAACTTTGGTCATGCATGTCTTTCTCATAAAATTCTATAACATAAAAACTTTTAGTCCAGCTTTAAAACGGTTTTTACCATTATAATCAACGTCCAAATCTTTACAAACATAATAAAAATCAGAATTAGACTAGTCGGTGAGATTAGACTGAAACCGTCGCGGAAGGTCACATTATAGAATTGAGAATGGGAAAAACTCGCGGGCCGCATAACACTAAACTTTGCTGCCATGTGGCGGCCCACAACATATCGTCTTGCGGGCCGCAACTTGCCCGCGGGCCGTGAGTTTGAGACCCCTGGCTTGGAAGAAACGTTTCCATAACAATAAGCACTTTTAACACATCATTTTACAGTTTGAGCGCAAAAGTAACACATTCAAAGAAAACACAAACGCGTTCGATTCAATAATAATTGGTTAAACGTGCATTTGTAGGCGCCTTTAACTTAAAATAATTCTTAATTTTTCATTTTATCCAGCTCAAAATAAATGGAATCGAATATGAATAGGTCCTCATTTAAAATTATTCTAATAACTATATTTTTCAAAGCACAATGCCGTCATACAATTTATAATTAACACCTAAACTTACTTTAAAAGGCATGCTTTTGTGATGAAATATAATATGAAAACATATTGCACATGTTTGATATTGATACGTAGCAATAACTATTTTAAAATTAAAGACATTTATATTGAAATTGTTAATTAAGTCTTTAAACTTGTGAAGTTGCAAAAAATAAAAAAATAAAAAAAATACCGATACATGCGACCAAAAAGAAGTAATACTTTGGCTTATAACTTATAATCAGGAGCGGCCAATCTTCGGAATGGTAAGATTTTGTAATCAAACAGTAACAGTGCATGCCTCTAACAAAATTAGCCTTAACTATACGGGTCATCAATAATATCGAGTTAAACGATATTCCATAGGTTCTACCAATTGTAATCTGTTCAATCCACCAGTTACTATTCTTTTTACATATGACAATTTAGTCGTTTATTATAAAAATATATTTTCCCTTTAACTTGTAACCCACCCCCCACCCCCCCACACTCACACCAACTCGGAGCGATGCCTGAAAGAAGCACTGACAGGCATGGGCGCCCGCAGAAAACTTTCTAGGGGGGGGGGCAAAAATTATTTAGTAATGTTTTAATATAGTTTTAATTTACTGTAGCGTATTTGTATGGTGAACGAACGGACAGGACATCAGCTTAGTTACTTTCTCTTTATTTTGTCTTTACTTTAATACATTTTTTGTCTAAACAAATTTTATCCAATCACTCTCAATCCAGGGGGGGGGGGCATGTGCCCCACCTTGCCCCTACCTACGGGCGCCCATGCTGACAGGGACCATGTCATAAGTCCATTCTTGCGTAGGATTAATTTGGCGGTTGGCTGTACCCATTTATTTATCTTGGCTGTTTTTTTTTTTTCAATAGTATTATATAAATAGTAGCACGCGAACAGACTAGAGAGCATGTACGGCACACCAAGACCAAGGCGGTCTACTATTTGCCTCCTGGCAGATTTCCTGTGGTTAAATGACAATCCCTTGAGACTACAACTTCACAGTAAAAGTAAAAATACCGGTCCAAAACCACAAAGACAAAGACTTAAATGTTTCCTTTTCCGTTTTGTATCGGCTCTCCAAGATACATTCTTATATTTCTATGACATAACGG